TTGTTCCTGAAATATACTCTTAGCTTGACTATCATTAAGAGACGTGAGGAGGGTTAGTCGGGGAGATAAGAGAGGTATTAGAAGGTATAGGAAGGATTTGAATGTGACCACCTTGGTCTCTTGTTCTGTTACGGGTATGAGGGCTGATGTCACTTCCCGGCTGCCCACACCGTGGAAGGGTATTTCTTGAGGAACCTGAAAAGGAAATTGGATTAGTGTTGGTCTTGACGACCTGGGAGCGTGACCGCAGAGCCCAAGGGACAACTGCTTGAGGCCGGTCGCGCACGGCCTTTTTGTGTAAGGTTTTTCACGTGTTAGCTCCGTTCTTCAAAGGGCCTTACCGCCGGAGACGGAAGTCCGTGAGGTAAGGTGAGGTGTGACATTTTTAGGGTCGACCTTTTCTAACCCCACCCTTCTTTGTGGGAAGGCAGCATTGCTGTCATGCTGGTTGTCCAAGGGAAACACCTTACTGCTGTCACACCCCTCTACAGTCAGCAGTACGACTTCGCCCTCAGACCTTGAGTTGCTGCTTTTAGTCTTACCGTTCACCAATCGACCTGCCTGGCATGGTAGAACCTGCAGGAACATATGTTCCAGCCAATATAGCTCGGTTGGGTCATCACGATAGGCAAGCCCGACCACCGCGTCAAGGTAGCAGCTTCTTTTCAAATTAGAAACATCTTAAGAATGCAAGTTATTGACTAGGCTAACTCTAACAACTCGTTCGTCACACAGCATATTTGCTAGGTAAGATATTATAGAACTTTTATACTTCTGCTTAGGTGCATGGATTTTAATGTAACTACATCTCACTAGTATAGGGATTGTGGAGATTATTAAGTTTTTGATTGAGATCATGAACCGATTGATGTTAGACCACCACCTTTGGAAACCTGGAAGCACTGGACTGCCGTTTCGTCCTATTGTGGGACTCCTCAGCAGTGCGCATCCAACTTGTCGATTATATTACGTCCTTCCCCTTACATGTCGAGGTCTTCATAATCCAATCAACCACCAGAAGAAAGATTAGGCAAGAGAACAAACTATCAGACAACTAAATGGCACGACGAAGAAATTAGCAGGGAAATACAGTGAACCAGAGAGATCAATCATGGACAAGGAAGACAAGCCAATCAGTGAAATTCAATGACAGATGAACGGATGGGTGGAATACTTTGAGGAACTCTTAAATAGATCGGATCCGTCGAATCCACCGGATATTGAAGCAGCATCTACAGACCTTCCTATGCATACCATTCCATCAATGACGGAAGAAATCAGGATGGCCATTAGACAAATCAAGAGAGGGAAAGCAATAGGATCTGACAACATACCAGCCGAAGCACTGAAGTCAGACGTAGAAGTAACTGCAAACATGCCCCACATTCTTTTCAGGAAGATTTGGATTGAGGAACAAGTATCAACAGACTAGAAAGAAGGATACTTCACCAAGATACCAAAGAAAGGAGATCTGAGAAAGTGTGGGGTCATTAGAGGCATCACACTACTATCGGCACCAGGAAACACTTTTTAACAGAGTATTGTTGAACCGAATAACAAATTGTGTAGATTTCTAACTTTGAGATCAATAGGCCACATTCCGTGATGACCGATTGTGTACAGACCAAATCACGACACTACAAATCATCGTTGAACAATCAATTGAATGAAACTCGATACTATACATAAGCTTCATTGAATATAAGAAAGTATTTAACAGTCGTAAGTATGTAAGTAACAATCTTGGACTTGTTTGTTTTAAACAAATTGAGCATTCTGTCGAGAATTAATAATACATATTTTTTTGTAGTTGGATCATTGAGTTAATTGAAGCCAGACTACTACCATGGAAAACCTGGAAGCACTGGACGGCTGTTTCGTCCTATTGTGGGATTCCTAACCAGTGCACACCTAAGACCCCGCCTCACGAGATTCCAACTCAGGACCTATCAGTCTCGCACACAAGCGCTTAACCTTTAGACCACTGATCTAGCCGGCATCCAATGGTGTTAATGTCTAACTTCAACCAATCTACGAAATTAAGTCACCATCCACCATTGTCTTCAGTGAGTTACTCTCTCATAAAAAACTTGGCTGAACTATAATATTACTAAATTCTCCACAAAACCTCTTCTGATAATAATAATAATAATAAACATATATTTTTATTATAGTCGAATGAGTAGAAAAAAATTATATTTCTGACGTTTCGTGACTTTATGTAAGCCAATACTTTAGAGAAAATTATTAACTGAAATTCAATTAACACAAGTTTAATTAGTACAAAGGAAACAATGTAGAATATCTTGATTGTACTAAGAAAAATAGATTCTGCATTTTGTTTTTCAAGATGGTGGAGAAGATTTGTAATTCAGATAAATGATTTTGACAGAGTTTTATTCTCTGAGTTGGATGGTTTTTCCTTTTAATAACTTGTATAAATTGAATTTCGGTCAATAAATTTCTCTGAAGAATTAGCTTATATTAAGTCACGAAACATCAGCAATATAGTTCTTTTTCCTACTTATTGGGATATAACAAAAATATATGTTTATTATCAATTTCGTTTTATTATTACTTAGTGATGTGACTATTTTGTTCTATTCTGATAAGGTAAATATTAGACTTTTAAAGATTTATAAGTTCCATATTAGGATGAAACGACAATTCAGTGCTTCCAGGTTTCCCATGGTGATGGTCTAGTTTGAACTGACTCATGAATTCAATTATTAAATTTATGATAGAATTACTGTTGAATATCGTTTGTTAGTATATTTAATACAATAATGCACACTACTGAGGAGTCCCACAATAGGACGAAATGGCCATCCAGTACTTCCAGATTTTCCATGGTAGTGGTCTAGCTTCAATTGACTCATGATCTCAACCATTGAGTTTACAATAATAAATGTTCAAACTTAATGATAGACCACTTTTCAATGAAGAGTTAGGAAGATATCTCACAGTAAGTGAATTTATTTATTTAAACTATTTGATATTAACTTAATGCCTAATAAGTATGGTACTTATCATAAAACTGAGAGACATTAATTTTGATTTTATATGGAGTTGAGGAAACATAATACTGAAAAGCTTTAGACTAGAATGAATTGGCTTCCTAGTTTTCAAATCTCACTCCTTTTATAAGTCAATTAAATTATTTACAATCTTTATGAATTATGGATTTAAGATATTAGTGCAACCGAACTTTAATGATAATCCGAACTCCGTAGAATCAAACTTTAATGGCCCGGGATCTGACCCCAATGAGATGGTTTCTGATTGCTATTGAGATATACATGTCGTCAATTCTTGTATATAATCATGGACTTAGATCGCTTTAGTGAATAACAGAACTAAACAAACCAAGTATGAGAATGGATTTCGCAATACATATATTTTGTACAATCGTTGATTGGAACAGATAATCAGAGATACGCAGCGAAAGAAGCGAAGAAAAGAGAGCGAAATGACACAGTGGAGAAGGCATGTAAGTCAACTTCAGTTTAATCAAGCGGTAATTAATATTTATAATTACACAAAAATGTATGCTACAGACATGTGATGAATAGGATAAGAAGCGTATACACAATATGCTCATATAAAAACAGTCAAAATTGAGATAAGTGAATAATTAACAAGGTCAAAATGTGACTCAAGTAGAATGAATAGATTGACCTGTCCAAAAGCTAGAATAAAGTATATGGGTCTAACGTAATAAACGATACTACAAAACTGTTATCAGTCTCAGTTATAGATTTGAGTGTCGTATTTTGTTTTTCATTATTGATAAAAGACAAATTTACCATAAGGCATTAGTATACCAGGTGTTGATAATTGGGATTCAACAACTTTGTAACTATCAGTTTAGGGGTTATGGAGATCGTTAAGTTTTTGATTGAGATCATGAACCAATTGATGTTAGACCATCATAGATTGGTTAGGGTTAGACATTAACACCGCTGGATGCTGGCCCAATGGTCTAGAGGTTAAGCGTTCGCGCGCAAAACTGAAAACCCTAGGTTCGAATCCCGCGGGCGGGGTTGTGGATGCGCACTGCTGAAGAGTCCCACAATAGGACTAGAAGGCCGTCCACTGCTTCCAGGTTTTCGATGTTGGTCTAACATCAATCAGTTCATGATCTCAATCAAAAACTTTGTAACGATTAATTTACGTGACTTAGTATCTCATTGTTATGGCAAACCAGAACAATAATCAATGAATTTTACTATTAATAACAATAAAATATACACTATTGCTACAACTTACTAATTTGAAATCCAAGTCCAAATCTACTTGCTGAATACTTTCAAAATGTAGAATTATATTTATAAGTCAAATTATAGAAAAACAACAAATGCCTTGGTACGGCCGAGAGTGAGTAGAGTCCGCTTTCCCTCTCCAAATGCTCTCACATGGCCACGCGTATATAGCCTTTGTCAGGGAAGTCCTAATCACTGCCTTCTTGTGGTGGGGGTTTTTTACGAAAATGAGAGGACGAAGAGTGTATGTCCAGCGCTTTAACCGGGTTGGTGGATATGGAGAGTTCAGCTAGGAGTGTAGGAAAACTCTGATACCAAACCAATGATTAATATGGGCTCCAGTATCCTGAAAGAACAAATGGCGTATGAACCAATTATTGTTCACCGGCTTCTATGGGAATGCATCTTCTTCGTTACTCCACTGCCTTGTGGATCAGACCTTCAGGTCGAAGGCTCGGGGAGTGGCCCCTACAGAAAACCACCTGCTTCGGTTAGGGCACCTGGGTGGTATCACAGCCCTCACACATATCAAATGAGATTTGTGTGGCGCATCTATATTTGGTGCCTCCTTGTACCAATATCTATGTGTTAAAGTAAATAAATAAACAATAACAACAAATAACTTCATTTTATAACCAATCAAAATTCATCTCTGTAATCCAATCAAAATAAAGTATTTCCTGATATAAAAATGAATAAATCGTCGATTTGATTTAATCTTATTATTATTATAATAATCAAAAGGAAATCAAAACTATGTCCGATACTACTGATAATAATGAAAATAGAAATATAGAAAATTCTGATAAAAATAATTTACATTCTATATGTCCATTATGTTATATTTTGATACAAGAGATTAGAAAATGTTATGAACATATCAGTGAATCATTACCATTGGATCATTTTAATTTAAATAAAAATAAAACAATGAATAATGTCATTGATTTAATTCAAGTGAACAAACAGAATTCAAAAAGATCACCATCATCGTCACCGTCGTCATCATCACCAACATCGCCAACATCACCGTCAACATCATTAAAACATGATCATATATCTGTTATAATATTAGATGAATTAAAACGTTTTTGTGAAAATACAACAATACGTGGTCTACCACGTATAGTTCGTGCACATAATCGTTATTTACGTTTATTATGGTTAATATTAGTATTTATATTAATATTAGGTTGTTTTATATGTATGCTATTTTTAACTAGACAATATTTAGAATATAATGTAATACATCCACCACGTGTATTACGTCATACAATTAGTCCATTTCCATCAGTAACTGTATGTAATTTTCGTCCAATTTCACCAGATGGATTAAAATATTTACAAATGAAAGGTTGGAAAACACCAAGACATTTTGTATTAGATTTAGCTACATATGCTCAATATATTTTTTATAATAAACATAAAATTGATGAATATAATGCAGCTAGTGCAGCATTTTCATTAGCTGGATTTTTAGAAAGTTTACCAAATAATGAAGAAAGAAGAAAACTTGGTTATCAACATGATAAATTAATAATTAAATGTCAAGTAAGTAAAAAGAAATTTTTGTGTTTAAGTAAATTGTATAATTTTGACAGTTGAGATCATGAGTCAATTGAAGCTAGACCACTACCATGGAAAACCTGGAAGCACTGGACGGCCGTTCCATTCTATTGTGGGACTCCTCAGCAGTTCTCATCCACGATCCCGCCTTACGGGATTCTAACCCACGACCTATCGGCCTCACACCAGGCGCCTAACCAACTAGACCACTGAGTTGGCCGGCATCCAACGGTGTTAATGTCTAAATTCAACTAATCCACGAAACTGAACGACACATCCATCAGTGAGTTACTATTTCACAACTGACGCGGTTGAACTCCACTGGTCACTGCTTCGCACCAGAACTCCAGGAAATATCTCTTGAAGCCAGTCACTAGTGAGCATATGTTGATTAGTATCAGAAGGGGTTTTGTGGATGTTATAGTAATTTAAATAGTTGAGATCATGATCATGGTTTTTCATCAGTTGTTTCGTAGATTGGTTAAAGTTGGATATTAACACCGTCGGATGTTGACCAGTTCAATGGTCTAGTGATTAAGCGCTCACGCACTAGACTGATAGGTCCTGGGTTAGAATCTCGCGAGGCAGGGTCGTGAATTCACGCTGCTGGCGAGTCCCACGATAGGACGAAATGGCCATTCAGTGCTTCTAGGTTTTCCATGGTAGTGGTTTAGCTTCAATTAACTCATAATCTCAACTACTGAAATTACTATAATCTCTACAAATCCACTTTTGATACTAATTATTAAATGTCAAGTGTGTAAAATTTATGCTTAGGCTAATCGTATATAAATTAATTTTATAATGTTTGCTATAAGGTCAAAATAGAAATGAAGGTGGAATAATCCGATTTTGTCATTTTATTTCATGGTTTTTCATCAGTTGTTTACAACTGTTTGAATATATATATGTATGGATAAGCAAGTGTGAGGTCATTTGATGATGGAAGTAAAACAAAAACAAACTAAAATAAAAGGCTGAAACATTAATTATGTTGAGTCCGGAAATTGATAAAATGGATTGTGTTATAATTATAGGAGATTTGAGAAGTTTATGAAAGTTTCAGATTAATTGAAAATAAATTTTGAAGTCATAAAGAGATAAAGTGGTAATTAGCTAAATTTCGGAATAAACGAGATGAATTAAGTAACACTACTTTTAAGTGGCTCCGCACTTGTTTATATATATATATATATATATATATATAACTATTATTATTATTATGCTCAACATCAGCAGTACTGATTACTTACTTACTTACTTACTTACTTACTTACTTACTTACTTACTTACTTACTTACTTACTTACTTACTTACTTACTTACTTACTTACTTACTTACTTACTTACTTACTTACTTACTTACTTACTTACTTACTTACTTACTTACTTACTTACTTACTTACTTACTTACTTACTTACTTACTTACTTACTTACTTACTTACTTACTTACTTACTTACTTACTTACTTACTTACTTACTTACTTACTTACTTACTTACTTACTTACTTACTTACTTACTTACTTACTTACTTACTTACTTACTTACTTACTTACTTACTTACTTACTTACTTACTTACTTACTTACTTACTTACTTACTTACTTACTTACTTACTTACTTACTTACTTACTTACTTACTTACTTACTTACTTACTTACTTACTTACTTACTTACTTACTTACTTACTTACTTACTTACTTACTTACTTACTTACTTACTTACTTACTTACTTACTTACTTACTTACTTACTTACTTACTTACTTACTAACACCTGTTAACCCACGAACTGCGTCTTCCAATCATAATTAAGTACTTGACTGCTAACCAACTATATTTCGAGTAATGGGTATTATAACCTATGATAATGGATGCAAACCAAATAATATCGAAAATATAAGAAAGTTCTAAATGTGAACCAATATATCTCAATTTAGTGGTGTAAACTTAACAAACTAGTAACCGGTTTCATCTATAGAAGGGGAGTTTGAAAGATGAATATTGTTCAGTAGTCTTATATTATTGCAGTTTTATAGAAAGAAACTGTTATCTAGTGTTCCACACTCTCAATCACCAGTTATTTAAGATAAGTCTGTGTTGAACACGATTCTCAAATTTACTAATTCTCGAAAAATCTTTTATTCCAAATTTCTTAATTAATTACTTTCTTACACTTGTTACCCCTCATGCAGGAGTATAGGTCTCCCATAAACACCCTCCATCCAATTCTGTCCTGCACAATCTTTTCCACTCCGTTCTAGTCATTATTCATCCTTTTCGTATCTGCTTCCGATTCCCGACACAGTATATTCGTTAGTCTTCCACTTCTCCGTTTCCATTCAGCATTTCAAGTTAGCTTTTATCTTGTGATACAGTTTCATGATTTCCGTAATGTTCTGTCATGTTCCATCCACTTCCAACATCTTCTCCTCATTTCCTCGTCAGTCGCAATCAATATTGATTACTTCATATTATATCGTATCATATCTTATTGTTACACTCTATGATGAATTTTCATACACATAGTTCCCTTTATTATCTTAAATAGAGCAAGAACAAAGATTGGTGCAGAATAATATGAATTCATTTTATTTCGTTAGGTTCTCATCAGCTGCTTACAACCTAAATTATTTGAAAATTCAAATTATTACAGATATTGACATATTTATATATAAGAGTGTGATTAAGGATCAATACATGTGTATGATGATGTAGCGAAGATTCACATAGAGTTAATGAGCTCATAAAATGTTTGATTCTAATAAATAAATAAAGTTTGAGAGGGAAAGTTCTGGAACATTGAAATAGTGATTAGAACTCATGAAAATAGATTAATGGTAATAAAGAAAATATGAATTGAATTCAATCAGTTATGTATGATGTAATTTATATTTCAGAAAGAGTTGCAATAATGACGTAATACATAAATAAATAAATAAATAGGAGCAAATTAATAGAAAGAGTGGGGGTTATTGTTACCAGGGTAAAGAAAGATTTATTACTGTCTCTTTTTGTATACATAGATCTGGTTTTAAACGTTTGATTGCTAACGCTTCAGCGAATTTCAAAAGGTTCGAGTTTGATTGTTTGTTAATCACCTTGAAGGACTTCAGTATATCAGCTTTATGTCCTGTATCAAGGAGATGTCTTGCGATAGCACTGTTGAATGAGTTCAATCCATTTAATCTTAAACTTTTCGGAATATGTTCTTTGAATCGGACGTAGGCTCTCCTTTCTGTTCTACCAATGTAACTGCTTTGGCAGGTACATGTAAATTTGTATACACAGTTGGTGGTAACATGAAAGGGATACCTGTCGACCTTTGATTGTGTCAAAGAACATGTTGTTTTGGACAGGACAATCAATTTCGCTGCAGGATAGGTTCTTGTCAGTGCAGTTTTTAGTCTCATATTGATTGAACCTGTGACATCGTCACCTTTGAATTGAAGTTTAATAAAAATAGGCTTTTTATTTGCTGTAATTTCTTTCGGTTTTTTATCTTCACATTTGCCGTATTTCTCAATAAATTTCAGTGGGTATCCGTTATTCTTCAAACATTTTTTAACATTCATAACTTCCTCTTCTAGTGTATCGGAAGTACATATTCTTTCTGTTCTGTAAAACAGTGTTTTGACCAGTGCCTTTTTGTAACTGATTGGACAAAAGCTATTGAAATTAAGATAACTACCATTCCATGTGTCTTTCTTATAAACTGAACGTTGAACTGTACCATCTTTTCTTCTTTTCATCGCGATATCGAGAAAATGGAACTTGTTTTCTTTTTCGTGTTCCATAGTGAAATGGATATTCGGATGTGCTTCGTTGAAAAACTCTAGCAGATTTATTGCATGTTGTTTATTATTACATACGATGAAGGTATCATCAACATACCTCGAATAATACGTCATTTCATCAATCGCTCGTTTGAGTTTGGTTCTTTCGAGGTTAGCCATGAAAATATCTGCTAGGACAGGACCTAACGGACTTCCCATCGCTACACCATCGGTTTGTTTGTATATGATATCTTTGTTCTTGCTCTATTTAAGATAATAAAGGGAACTATGTGTATGAAATTTCTCAAAATGCGTCTCCCTGCACAGTCATTCAAGTCACTGAATCGCCTGGTGACAATACGCTGCAGAATATCGAGAGAAATAACTCGACTAAAGTTTTTTGATGAATGTCTCAAGTCATGTCGTTTCCCACGTCAGTTCTTAAAGTCTTTACGCTCATTTAAACTTCCGCCTTCTCTTAAAAATCTTCGACGCATCACAAAATCTCACATTGAATCAACAAAGTTACTGATTGAACGTTTGAGGGCAGAAACTAATGCCTTTGATGAATTAATCAACAATCTAAGTATCGTATGTCGCATAAAATTTATCAACTTTATACAAGATCTGCAAAGCAAAATATGCAAGAATTTCCACGTAACTTTGTCAAAGACTCTGTCAAAGGAACAATTATGTTTTGGCTTTCCGGAAAACCCCGAAAAGTTTCTCTATAATCTATCAACAATGAAGTTAAATCAGATAGAAACAGAAGCCTTGTCACTTGGATTTAAATTTCATATCCCCAAAACACATGCCGACAGAATCGACACAGAAACTCAATTTGAGAATTTATTTGATCAAATTAAAGAGTTGCACCCAGTTAGTGAAGAAAAGAAAGGCTGGTTTAAATCTAAACTAGTCGATATTGCAAACCAATATCTTGTTTCACCCGCACCACAGTCTAAGCTTTTATCCAAAGAACACCAAACAGCATTACGAAATATTAAACGAAATGACGATATAATGATATTACGGTCAGACAAAGGCTCAAGTGTTGTTCTAATGAACAAAACAGATTATGTTTTTAAGATGAAGTCCATCTTGAATGACCATATGAGATTCAAGTTAGAGAAAAGTAACAAAGACTTAACTGATTCCATTGAGAAAAGAATCACCAAAGTACTCAGAGATCTTCTGAAAAAGAAGATGAT